CAGCCCCGCCGGCACCACCCGCAGCGGCTCCCCGCCCGCGTGCATCTCCACGGCCCGCAGCACCGGCAGCGCCGCGGCGTGAGGCGGTAGCTCCAGCCCCGCCATCGCCCCACCGACCAACTATGGGGCGGGGCCTAGGCGCAGCACCACGCTAGTGGGCCAGGGGAGGGGCGCGCCGGCCTATGGGACAGCAGAGGGGAGGAAAGGACGCGCCTGAGAGCGGCCCCGCCAATAGAAGGGGAAGAGCTGGGTAGGCCTCGGCCCATTGGGCCACGGGAAGGGAGCGCCGGCCTATGAGGGAGGGGAGGGGCGGGGCTTCAACCGGCCTCGCTCCGCCATTGGGTAAAGCTCGGCCTGTGGCGGACAAGGGAGAGGGAGGGGCGGGGCTTAGAAGGGAGGGAATGAAGGAGGGGCGGGGCGTTCCGCCATTGGGCAACGGAAGGGGAGCGCCGGCCTATGAGGGAGGGGAGGGGAGGGGCGGGGCTTAGAGAGGCCCCACCAATAGAAGGAGCAGGTTGGTCTCGCTCCACCACTAGCTACTGGAAAGGAAGCATCGGCCTATGGGGGCGGAAGCCGGGCAGTCAATGCCCCTATTGGGTGGAGCACTTGCCCCCCCTTCCTCCGGCCGGAACCTCTCCTCCACCCCACCGCGACGGAAGTGACGAACTCAGCAGGTGACGAAGACCCTGGGGCCCCCGCGACCTGCTGCAATGCAGGCCGTGGCGGTGCAGCCCGCCTGCCTGGGCCTGTACTGCGGGAGGGCCGTGCTGGTCGCCAACGGCTCCAACGGGGTGTACAGCGACTGCGGGGTGAGCGTTGTCCCGCCCTCCCTCCCGCGCTCTGGCACCGGGTGGTGCCTGCCCCCCAGCCTGGTCTCGGGGAGGTGGATCCCTGCTGGGCCCCGGGGAGCTGCGTTCGAGGGGAGCCGGGATCAAGTGGGTGCAGGGGCCGACCCCGCCGAGAGCAGCGCCGGTGGGGGGGTGGACAGGCGGCTCCTGAGACTCAGTGCAGTGGTGTCGAGGCTTGCTTCGAGCCCAGGCCACCCCTTCAGCTGGGTCCCAGCAACAGCGAAGGCCACACTGCACTGCAGACAACATCACCGCAGCCCTGGGCGGGGGTTGCTCTTACAGGTGTGTCCCAGGGGACAGAGGACGGACGACCACAAAATCTGCCGGCCATGCACAGAGTCCCCAGACCGCTACGACTGGCTGTACCTGGGCTTCATGGCCATGCTGCCCCTGGTGCTGCACTGGTTCTTCATCGAGTGGTATTCAGGAAAGAAGAGGTGAGGAGCTGTTTGCGCACGGTTCTCCGACGGGCACCTGGGTGGGAGTCTGAATTTGGCTCGAGTCCTTGGCTATACATGCTACTAAGCCCATGGCCATGCCGTGTTTTATAGCCAACTGGTTTAGCAGCCGTGCTGCGCGCTGTGATGTTTCATGCTGTACAAACACAGTACTTTTCCTGTGACTTCTCTAAAAACCTTTGGTGAGTGAAAATGAGTAAAGCCTTTCATTCTGCAGACTGTCAGCCTGTCAGAAGAGATCCGTTTGAACACGCATCCATGCAATGTGGCAGGAAATTATTTTGTGTGTTAGACTTAAAATGTTTGGTCTGTAATCAAATGTGAGAAGTCGTAACTGAGTATAACAAATGGAAAGACGCTGATTTATAAAAATGAATGAGTGAAACTGGGCGCCGGGCTTTCTTCATGTGCAGATGTCTGTCTTGTAGGAACTTCCGTGGTGGTGGTGGTAGTAGTAACCTGTGGTTCAGAGAGAGAATCCTTGTCTACTGCACGGGACACTTGGGTTCGATTCCCATCGGGACTCAGTCTGGTCTTTGCTTCGAGCCCAGGCCGCCTGCTGTCTTGGTGGCCTGGCAGGTCTGGGCAGCCTCCATTTCTCCAAAAATTCTTGCCTAGGCACATGCATCAAAGGTCTGGATGACCCTCATGCATACACTATGATCCAGGAGGATTGACTGTTGTTGTTATTTATGATGATGAAAAACTAATAATAGGATAATCCTATTGCAAGCACATAGACTCGTTTTTCAGTAATAGTTCAGTTTAAACAGCGAATGTGCAGTACGTTAATACCAGTATAACATGCCTTGATGTAAATGTGGAGCAGACAGATTGAGCAACCCTACACTGCTGTAGGTCAGGTCAGTTGAATGTTAGTCTGCACTGAGCAAAGGGCTGCTCTATTCTGGACTTCCTCACCTAGCGGCAGGGCACTGTGATAGCACCTACTCTTGGCAGCTGCCTCTGCAAAGCTAATCTGTTTCCTTTGGGCACTGATATAACTTGCATCCAAGTGCAAATGGACGCTAGTTACTTTGGTGTTGTGTATCTGCTTGTCCCAGTAGGTGAAAGCACAGCAAATTATGACACTGTTCAAAAGCGCTGCTCCTAAACCAATGCATGCTAGTCTGTAAAAAGCAGCCTTCGGGTTCCATGTCAGTGCACACATAAGATCTGTGATACGCATCTGTGATGTGCATTATGAGGAGACACCTCATCTGGTAGTTTGATCTTAGTTGTTTGCTAGACTGCTAGCAGTGCAAAAGTTAGTTTCAGACATTCAAACACAATCTGACTGCACATGTAAAGCTGTCTGAATCATGGATTATGTGGATTTAATGTCTGGACTCTTTACTGTCCAGTCATTACAGTATAAAGTTTTAAAGTGGTCAGCAAGGTGGTTTCCTGTCCTGTCCTTAACTCAGCAGAAGTTCAAAATTGAAAGGAATATTTTTTCAGTCAGCATTTTCATTCTTTTTAGTAGTAACAGTGACATGAAGTACCTCTTCCTTCCTTCCTTCCTCCAGTTCCAGTGCATTGTTCCAGCACATTACAGCCTTATTTGAATGCAGTGTCGCAGCTATAGTTACGCTGCTTGTGAGTGACCCAGTGGGTTCCCTGTGCATCCGCTCCTGCAAGGTAGTGATGCTGTCAGACTGGTATACGATGCTGTACAACCCAAGCCCGGATTACATTAACACTATTCACTGCACTCATGAAGCAGTCTATCCTCTGTGAGTACAAAATCTGTTCCACTCGGACTTTTTTTCCCTTAATTTGGTGTTGAATCCTCTGTACTTCATGATTTTAACTGTTCACTCAACTGCAGTTGTTATGTTGGCAAAATGTACTTAGTAGTTTCCTATTTCCCTTGCATGAGGGCAACTTGGGTGTCCTCCCAAATGCATGTCATTTGACTTGGATTCAGACCATTCCTACAGCATGGAGATTTATTTAAAAGCTAATCATGAATGTGAAAGAGAACATGGCACTTGAATCAAGTGAGGGGAAAAAAGAACTTCTTATGACAACACAAGTGTTAATTAAGTCAAATTTCACTTGGGAGTTGGCATCAGGTTTCTCCTCAGCATTGCAGCTCCTGCTGTCCTGTTTCATTCTTGTTTTAATGAGTGCCCTTTAATAGTCGCTGTAAAGGTGCAGAATGCATGAGGCTTTGAGCCAAACCAGGCGCTGTCCAAAAAACCTTTGGAAGTTGGTGATTTGCTCTGTTCACTCTTGTGCTTCTCCAAAGCACTCAGCAGCTTGCCAACCACCCAACGCCCTCAGTGTCCTGTTACCACAGCTTTATTGGGAGTGAGTTTGTGCATTGTTGCAGCCTTGTGTTCTGGGAGAGTTCTGCTTGTTCCCATGCAAGTGGCGACAAAACAGTCACAGTGGGAGTTATTGGTAGTCCTGGAATTTGTCATTATGAACCTGTTACTGCAAGGCAAGCTGGAACGTAAACTCGCAGCACTTCACCTGCTTTGCAACCTGCCTGTGTGCATGCTCTCATGGTGCAGTAGATGCAGGGTAGGTTGCTTCCAATAAAAAGGAGATACGGTAGTTCTCACTTACCCAGGGCAAAAAGATGCAGGTAGGCAGTTGCTGCAGAATATCCAATGTACTATGAATTCATATTCTCATTTATCTTGCATCCTGTGTGCCTGCATCCTTCCAAACAAGAGATGCCTGTATCTTTAACATCTTGTCTACTGTGTGAGGGCTTGGGGGGATAGAGGACTGGCAGTGGTGAATTTTCATATGCTATATTTTCTCACATAGAGTATGCCCCAGAATAAGATATACCCCTTGTTTTTGAAAGGCGCAGTGAAGTAGCCTTTCCTTGTAGTAAGTAGCTGAGTATCAGCAGGTAGAAGCCAAGCCAGCTTATCCTGCTGCTTCCTATGGATCCTTGCAGGCTTTCCTTCCACTTTGCTCAGTAAATGGCAGAAAGTGCTTTTACCATATTGCTTACAAACACTCTAATTTCCAGCTGCTATTTTTTGGAAGAAAGATGCATGGTGTATGCAAAGAGTGCATTAATTTAACTTCAGGGTGCAGCATTAACAAACAACAATGGATCTGTGGAGTCTTTTGGTAACCTCCCCCCATGCTGTCACTCTCCAAAGGTAGGTGTGGTCTAGTGGGCAGGAGTCAAAACCTGTATTTTGTTTGCATTTCTCCCACTGTCCTGCTACATGAAGTGGGGTAGGTCAGGGCAGTATTCCGTGCCACTGCTCCCCTTTCCCATCACTTGGGTGTTTTGACTGCAACCCCTTCAGAGCTGAAACCATCTCTAGCAGGAAACAGCGTGGCACTTAAGGTAGAAGTCCAGAAGTTAAGGTCATGCAAACAGTAACTGTCGCATTTTTGTCTACAGATACACCATAGTGTTTATCTACTATGCCTTCTGCCTAGTGTTGATGATGCTGCTTCGACCTCTTCTGGTTAAGAAGATCGCCTGTGGCTTAGGAAAGTCGGATAGATTTAAAAGCATTTATGCAGCCCTGTACTTCTTCCCTATTCTAACTGTGCTTCAGGCTGTTGGAGGAGGCCTCCTCTGTAAGTTGCGTGTGTCGCTTAAGAATGCATACGCCTCCAACAGGGGACTTTTAATACAGTGGAAAAAGTGTGTCCTTTCCTACTGTGTGGGTGACAACACTGCCCTAATTTTATGAAGAACAGTTTGTCCAGAAAGTATGCTTACTGCTCCGTTGCTGCCTCAAGCCTGTTGTAATGTCATAGATCACTGCACACACAGTCAGTTAATCAACGAAGAAATGCAGCCTCTCATTCTTGGGAATAAACGCTTAGAAACCAAGAAGCCCCTATCTTAGGTCAAAAGCAGGTGTAGCTAACAGCTCTATCTGTAGCTGCTGCTAGCACAGGGTGACAGTTCGTCAGCTGTAGAGTTAAATGTACAGTAAGCCTAACCAATATCTCTGTTTTGAAGTCATTTCCTCTAACACAGTGGTTTTCAACCTGTGGTTTGTGGACCCCTGTGGGTCCACAGACTCACAGGTCCAGAAAGATAACTATGGTCAATCAAAAGTGTGTGAATACCCACATTTACAATTCAAGGGGGTCTGCACCTCCACTCTATTTTATTTTTTTTAAAGGTTTTGCCAACGAAAAAAGGCTGAAAACCACTGGTCTAAAATGTGCACTTAGGGTTGAACAGATCAGATAACTTCCTACTCACCCTGAAGAAGCAGTGACCTTCCAGCTAGTCAGTGACACTACTGAGCCAGGCTTCTTCACAGCTCTTTCTATCCAGATTTCCCCCCGCCCCCAAAAACGCACACGCGCGTGCGCGTTAGCAAATGGTGATAGAGGCATTTGGGAAGCAGTGACTGTTTGAGAGTCTAGGAAATACTCCAATGTAGCCAGTGTCTGGCAAGGGGACATGGAGTGGAAATAAACTGAATTCTTAGTGATAATGACTGCGTCCCTTTTCTTCAGGTATAGGGATCTCAGTTCAGGGAATAGCAGGGAGGAGGACAGGGAGAAAATTTCTTAAAGGTGTTAGCTGTTCTTTGAGTGACAGCTGGGGAAGAGGGAGTGCTACTTCTCAGTATCAGCACTACCCCACCCCCCCATTGTGAGTCTCTTCTACCCATGTTTCTAGTATGAAGGAGGGTGTAGAACCAGACTGTAACAGTTTGCTATACAGTGGGTAACAGCTCTTCACCAGAATTGTAGACATTTGGACCTTCAAGAAGCTGAACTTTGACCCACCAAAAACAAAATAGCTCATGCTCAGCTCTTGTTTGCGCTGCTTTTGTGTTGGGCTGCAGCGATTCAGAGGAATGGGCATGGCTGTAACTGTTTCCTGCTGAAATGAACTGAATCTGGGGGTGTGTTCCTTCTCCTGATATGTCCACTGTTTGTTTCTAGATTACGCTTTCCCTTATATTATATTGGTGTTATCGTTGGTCACCCTGGCTGTGTACATGTCAGCTTCTGAAGTTGAGGTAAGTAAAAATAGCTTTTCTTGGTCCTTTAAAACTCAGTGGGTGTGTGCTTGTCAGGACATGTGCAGTTTGCAGCACATGTGTGTCCGTTTGCCACCCTGCTAAATTGCAGCACAGTGGGTGTTTTTGACACTGGGATACTGCTTAAAAAAAAAAAAAGCGGTGCAGCACAGGGCAGCAGCATGTGCCACCAAAACTAGAGCCTGGCCATTAAAGAGGCACAATCTGGCTGTGAGCAGCCATTTGGGCACTGGTGCTGCCCTAGGAGGCCCCAAGGACCACAGATAAAACCACAGATGCTGTTCCCGGCCTCCTGTACCCCACCTGGGTCAAATATAGGCAGCTACTATTTGTCCTGTGGGAAACGTGCATCTGCATATATGTGCTTGCTCATCAGGACATGCCCAATGTTATAGCTGTAGATACCTGAGAAACCAAGCATGAGATGAGGTAGGCGTATATGTTGTTCATGTGTGGCCAAAGAGCTCTTTCCTCTGCCGCAGTGTCATCTGGAGTTGGTGTGTACTTGTGTGCGTACACTTGTACTTTTCCCACTGCTTATGCTGCATACAAATAAACTTTCATTTTTGGCATCTGGTTCCAGCTATAGGAAACCTGCACAAGCCAGTCCTTGATGACACTCCCCAAGTAGACTAGGAAGAGATCAGATTTAGTGGTATCAAGGGTCAAAGTGCAACTCTCAAGTCCAACAGGCCTCAAGCAGCACCTTGCTATGCACAGTGCCCTACTTTACCTGCTTGAGAATCAGGCATAATTTAAACAGGAAAAAGCTAACTTTTTTTCTCCCCCCTCCCCAGTCTTTCAAGGATCTTCTGCTCAGGAAGAAAAGGCTTGTTGTTCTCTTTAGCCACTGGTTACTTCATGCCTATGGAATCATCTCGATTTCCAAGCTGGATAAGCTAGAGGAGGATTTACCCCTACTGGCTTTGGTGCCCACCCCTGCCCTCTTCTATCTAATGACTGCAAAGTATACGGAGCCCTCACGCATACTTTCAGAGGGAGCAAATGGACATTAAATCAAACTTGTGCCAAGAAGCTGTCCTGATCACCTGGATTAAGCAACCTCAGAGCTTCGTTCATCCTTTGGGTCTTTGGTGTATAGTCAGGTTGTTACTGAACCAGACACTTCTCACAACACCTCAGAAAGACTGAGAGACTATGGACTCATAAGCTATGTCTACATAGCAAAACGTTGTGCTGTGCAGAGGTAACCAAGCTAGCTCAGATCCTGGCAGCCATGTGGTACTCTGCCCAGGGCAGGTTACCTCAGCCTGGGAAGCAGGTCTAAGTGGCCTGGGCAGGCTGCCACACTAATGTGGCTACTCTGTTTCCAATACCTAAGGTAGCTTCTTCACCATGACTTTGAGTATCTCAGCACAGCACAATGCAATACTGTATAAACACACCCTTGGAAAGAGCTGCATTTGCTGTTTTACTGCATGAACAGTATGTATGGTTCCAGGTGAGTGATGTACTGTAAATATGCTGCTGGGATTGACCTTGTCATATCAATTTTGTTTGTACCTTATTTATTTCACAATGCATCTCTGAGTAGAGCAGGAAAATAGAACCAGTCTTCTGGCACAACATTCTGGTGTCTGTCAGCCATCACTGGGAATCCCTGTTTTCCACAAAAAAAAAAAAAAAAAAAAAAAGTGTACCAAGCAGTCACTACCTGAACTTGCAGCTATAATTACATACTAGCACTTCATATGTGCTAAAGCCGCTGCCATTAGCGCTGGGAAAGAGAAGAACAGAAGGGTTCTCCTGCTGCATCTCAGGCTCAGAATGTTTCAAATGTATGAACTTCTATCGGCTGTATGTCAAACTAGCTTTCTGGCTCAGCCAGTTTTCTTAACACCTGCCTGCATATTTCTGTATGGCATGAGGTTGAATTCTTTCTCTTCTGCTAGTTAATGAACAAGAGTTGTAGATCACCTGGCTGTGATAGCCAAAACCAGAAGGGTTAGCAAGGAAGTTATAGGAAGAGAAATCTGTGTTTTTGAAGATATCTGAAGTAGCTTATAAAGCAGTTTCCTGAGATC